TTTTCTTTTCTCTACGAGGACTGGACATGAGGGCCTGCTGAGCCTGGAATGGCCCATCTATACCAATGAACATCTCAGTCTTCCGGTCCTTGCACGGGTCCCTGCAGCCGTCCACTCCCACGCACACCAGCCGGACCCGTAGGGCCAGAGCAATCCCCTGGCTCTGGAGGAAGCCCCACCCTCCAGGCCCATCTGAAATAAGAACTTTAAGATTTTCTCTCCTAAGTCCGCACCGGGATCCCGCCGGCTACTCCCTCAGTTCTCTCCCCAAAGCCTCCTTCCCCAGTCTCTCCCCAGGCATCTCTAACCCACTCTGCTCCCGCCTTTGCTAGAGACAAGGGTCTGTCTATGTGTCTGACAAGCCCTTACACCCATTCCATCTGGGAAACTGAGTCTTACTAAAGACATGGAAGATTCAACGTCCTAAACAGCAGTTAGCCAAGCAATGGACCAGTCCTCATGGCACCCTGCTGACAACACAATCTTCCCTAAAGCTCGCAGGAGTCAAGTCTTGGATCCACCACACACAGTTAAAGCGGGCACTGCCTGAGGAGGACACAGATCTTGCTGATGCTGCTGACACTGCAAGGAAAGCTGGACCTGAACTTCTGAAAGAGATTTAAGATTCCGCTTTTCAAAGGGCAGAGAGAAAAAGAGGGAGGGAGAGAGAGGGAGATATGAGAGAGAAACACCGACCAATTGTTTGCCTTCCTCCACACACCCTGGCCAAGGATCAAACCCAGATCTTTGGAAGAACACCCTGGTGGGTTTTATTATACAGCAATTTCTTCAAGCATAAAGAGAGAACACACTTTTGAGTGGGAGTCAGTGCTGGAGACAGCAGCAGGAAAAGAAGAAGGATCAGGCTGCATCCACAGGTGCAGGCAGCTAGAGAGAAAAACAGGATCTCTCCCACTTTAAAAGAATGTATGTGTACTATATGATATTGAGAGAAAACAGACAAAGAAATCAAAAAGAAAATACTAAAAATCATCTTCAGGAGAATCAAAATTAATTTTTAATATTTAAGTCTAATGTTTTTGCATATAATTTATAAAGAAAAAATTTCTGTAAAGTTTGAATCTAAAAACAAAAAAGATTCTCGCTCCTAAATATGAGCCCCAGGTCTTGCGGTGATCTCCAGCCCAGATCCCTCCTCGGATATCCAGATGGGAGTGAGCAAACTACTAGTCCTGTGACATTTCCACTCTGGGACAACTCAGGGTTGTCATGTCTGAAGTTCCAATTCCTAATCTCTCTGAAACTTGCTCGCTGCGCTGATTTCCCCATCTCCAATCTTTCCAGGTATTCAGGAGACAGACAGGAACGCAAACCAAAAAAAAAAAAAAAAAAAAAAAAAAGGAGGGGGAGGGAGATGGTGCTTCATTCCCTACTTTCTTCACAGCCACATTTGATGCAGCAGGAGCGCCTGTCAGGTTTTGAAAATCCATCCTAGATCTGACCATTCCTGTCCCCCTCTTGCCACCCGTATGATCCAGTTCGCACCAGGCGTATTAGTCCATTGCATTGACTTCCTCGAGCAGGGGACGCTCACTCTGGGCTTTGGGGTTCGGTGGGGTGAGGGTGAGGGGGACGTGCCCTCACCTGAGTCGGGAGCCTCAGCTGGGCTGCAGCCATCGGATTCCGTGCGCGGAGCGGGGCGGGGAGCGGAGGACCAGGTTGCGCCCCAGGGATCCCGTCCCCCGACCCAAAATCGGGGCCCCCCCGGGCGGCGTCGCCGAGCCTCGGCCTCCTCTCGCGCTGTCCCTTGTCACGTCGGCCACAAACCAGCCATCCGGGCTGATGAGAAAGACCGGCCCCAGAAACCCTCAAAGTCAACTCGCCCGAGGCTACGCCGGAAGTCCCGCCCAGGTCCTCCGCCCTCACGGAAACGGCAGTTGTCTAGGCCGGCCGAGCACCGGCACCCTGGTGCGCAGTGCCTTCTGGGCAATGTAGTTCCTACAGCGCGAAACGTAGAGGAAGTAGAGCTGCTGAGATGGCAGTGGAGGAAAAATCAGGGTCCAGAGACTATCCTTACTGATGGGCCTGGATATCAATTTCCCTGCGTAGCTGGGGCTCCAGTTTTTCTTTTCCTTGAAGGACTTAAAGACCATCTTGAGAGCCACAATAAAGTGGTTTCCTCCGTCTGAAGCAGTTATCTATTTCCAAATTCCCCTGCCAAGGAGGTGCCTAATATCAAACGCCAGGCTGATGAAGCAATGTCTGATGTGTGAGAAAAGCTCAACAGCTGCTTCTTTTTCTGAGTGAAAGATACAGTTCCATTCCTGTAAGCCAGTCAATGTTTTGTTTACTCTGTCCAGGTGAGAAACCTCCACAACTGTAGACAATTTTTATGAGTTCATTTGAGCCAAACTGACAATTGCTGGGAAGCAAAATCTCTTTGGATTGAAAAAAATGCTTTGAAGAATGGCAGTTTTGCCGTTTTATACGTTAGAGTAAAAGGAGGACGTGTAAGCAGGGTTACATGAAATTCATTGGTGGTAGATAATGAGGATGGGAGAAAGCAAAGGAGGGGGGATCATTACAATTAGATAAAAAGTACAACAGAGACATACTTTTTTTGCATTGGTTGGTAGAACATAGTTAACACTTAACACTCACAACACATAAAGATGGTATGTGGGCAACAAGATAACAATGAGGGTTTCTGTGCTGTCATGCCCTGGGGCCCGTGGTTGTGCATTGAAGGGTCTGGAGGAGAAGATTATTCTGACACTTCAGAGGTATGTCATCTTAGATGCAAAAAGACAACAGGCAGAGTCACTTAAGTTAAACATAGAACTCTGTCAAGGAAGCTACAGGCCTAGGATGTGACTATCTGCCATAACTCACTCTTAGGAAATTTTCATTTCAGATTATCCTATGTGACTACTTTTGGTCTTTGTGTTTGTGAGACCCATTATTCAGGCCTCCCCTGAGCTTGTCAGGTTTTGTACATGGCCCCTTTTTTTGTCCACAATTCCCCCAAAAAAGAAACAGGCCTCCCCTCACCCGCAGGAGAACACTAGAGCAGGGAGCATGTGCTACATTCCCAATCTGCCTCATGTTGGCTGTGGGGGACTTCAGGAAGCTGCTTTGCCTCTCATGGATTTTGTCACCATGCAAACAATGAGACAGTCATGCATGAATGATTCTAACTGACATTAGGGAGCATGTTACTAACCCTGAGACTAAAGTTTGAAGGGCTGGTAACAGGAGGACTGAGGCCCTTGCCCCTCTAGTCACCAATGTCCTTCTGATCCATCTGAATATACCAGATAGAACTTGATTTGTTTTGAAACCACCTTCCTGATGTGTGGAGAATGAGGTGAGGCAGAGAAAGAACTAATGATGGAGGCAGGGAAGAGGCTGTTGAGTAGTCCAGCATGTGCTTCCTGTAGGTCGGCCCAAGGGAGTAGAACTGGAGGTGTTGAAAGCAGAAGTGAAAGCACATGTGGATGGCTGGGATGATGGGGAAAAGCTTAGGCAACGATAGTTACTCCCCTTAACCACCGCCCCCCGCCCCGCCCCGGTGTCTGTGGGCCAACAGGGCTTTTCCTGTTCTGATTTCTTGGCTGGCACGCAGAAAACACATATTTAGAGAATAACACCGAACTCTAATGTTTCTGAGACAATGAAAAGGCAAGACACATCCCTGTCCTCATGTCACTAACCTGGAAATATAAAGGCTTTAGCACATTAAACAATTAGCCTCATCTCAATGTCTTTGCTCTGAGGTTACACATAGGAATTTCATCATTTTTAACTCCATAAGAAGATATATTCATGCCTTTGCAGCTAATGAGCAGTTATTTTAATCAAAAGATGCACCCCTCTCTTAATCCTCATACCCTCTCTCACTGTAGGCCTTTTTTTTTTTTTTTTTTTTTTTTTTTTGGTCCATTACATTCATCATTTTTGGCCTCAAATAGTCTTATGGCACAGTTTCTCAAGACAATTTTACTGTGTAAAGAAATGTAGTTTGGTAGTTATTTCCTCTGCGCAAAAATTGTTCTTGCCCTCTAAATTGCCAAATACACTTGATATTGTATATTGCCTTTATTGTCAGATATTTGTAAGATAGCTTAAAGGAATTGCATACATCTCTGTATATGGAGTAAGAAATATCTTTTGAAAAAAGAGTGTTATTCACTGGGTTTTACACAATCACTGATTATACAGGCAGAAAAATGTTTTCTGAGATAACCAGAGAAACAAGCATTGTCCATGGATTTCAGTGGCGTCCAACATCTCACTTCCATTTTCTAGGTCATGTTGTGTCTGGAGTCTTTTCTCTCTTGTTTCTAACCCAAAATACTGAGGCTCACGAAACTAACTCTAGAGCTTCAAGCACTTGTGTTTATTTGACAACAACAAAATATTTAGCTTCCAACTATAGAGGTCTCAGTGACATTAGCATACAGTGTGTCAACCTGACTTTTTAAAAAAATTTATCGATTGATTTGAGAGAGAGAGAAAGAGTGAGAGACGAGGAGAGAAACATCAATTTGTTGTTCCATTTATTTATGTATTCATTGGTTGATTCTACCTTGGCATAACAGGACTATGTTCTAACCAACTGAGCTACCCAGCCATTAATTTTTTTTTTAAAGAAATCTGAAACAATACTTCTCTAAGCATTTCTTTGATAAGTGACAGACTATACTCCCTGGAAATATGAGTGTAGCTCCTTTCAGAGAAAGCGAAGCTCCTCCTAGTCCTCCCTTTCAAGGCTCCGCTAACTCTGTGATTCGGCCTTTGCCCGGGAGGTGGCGCGCCGGACTCGCGTCTCGGTGGTTGGTGCTCTGAGAACTACATCACCCAGAGGCGCGGTGGCCTTGGGCCAATGAAGGCCCAGGCAAGGGGTGTGTCTGCTCTGAGGAAGATATTAGGGCGGGACTTCCTGTTTTCTTCTTGGGTGGACATTTTTTTTTTTTTTTTTTTTCGGTTTTGGATTATTCCGTCTCGCCAGGCTCCGGGACTCACTCTGAGTCCTGAGGGACGCGACTGGAAGCGGTTCTTCCGTGAACAGAAGCGAGCCTGAGGCTCGGCTGTGGCGCGGCCCGTGTCCCCCGGCTGCCGGAGCCCGGTTCCTCACACTTGCCTCCGCCAATTATCCTCTCTCCTCGCCCGCCTTCCGCGGCCCACGGGTTCTGATGGCGAAGGCCGCGCTGGTGGACCCGGCGCAGGTGGGTGCTGCGCCCCCGGCTCCTCCCCGACCTCCGCCCCTGAATTTTAAAGCCTCAGTGAGGGCCGCTCGTGGTGGGGTCCCAGCTCTGACAGCCAGGATGATGGGACGTGGACGGCCTGGAGGTGCGAGGCAGCCGGAGCACTGGGAGCGTATGTGACAGGAGCAGAGTGCGAGGAGGAGCTACGTCTGGAATGTCAGCTTGAGCAGTTTTGCTTTCACTCTGAGGGAGATGGGAGCCCTGCAAGGTTCTGAGCAGACACGATCGTTGGGTTTTATAAGTATTTCATCGGTTGCTCGGGGGAGAACAGTACTGGAGTCAGGGGTAGGGAGAGGAGGAGGACAGTGAAGCACAGGAAGGTGGTGGCCTGGTCTGAGGTCATAGCCATTGGGGAGCCCTGAGGACGGAGCCCAGAGGACTGACAGTCACCCCTGGGTGTCAGTGGCAGGGCAGGCGTAAGGGGCAGGCATGAGCCTTTGAGACTCCGTGGTTGCTTGTCTCTCAGTCTCTTCCCACAGGTTCCCATGAACTCAGAAGTAATTATGGACCTTATACAAGTGGCGGGGGGGTGTGGGTGCTCTCATGGATCCTATCCCCAACCCCACCCACATAGTCTCCAGGATCGTGGTGTCATAGAACACTTGTACTCTTCGCAGCTCTTGAGTCTGAAGACCCTGGAGAAAACCCAAGTCCAGGGTTCTGAGTCCAGGCCTGAGGTTGTATGGAAGGGTTCCCATTTCTGGTAACCATTGGAATAAAGTGTGGAAGGTTGTTCCAGGCACAGGAACCAGCAAGTGCAAGTACTTAGAGGTGAGACTGAGATGGAAGTTTTCAAGAAACTGCAACTGTCAGCCCTGGTCCGGTGGCTCAGTCAGTTGGAGCATCGTTCCATGAACCAAAAGGTTGCAGGTTGGATCGCCGGTTGGCACTTGCGTGGGAGGCAACCAATTGATGTTTCTCTCTCACATTGATGTTTCTCTCTCTCCCTTCCTCTCTCTCTAAAGACAATAAAAAAATATATTCTTGGCGAGGAATAAATAATTTTTTTTAATTTAAAAGAAAAAAGCTATGTGTCTCCATTACATTTATGAGAAATCAAGAGTGGGTGGGCAGGAGTTAGGCCCCTGTTCCGAGGGTGGTGTAGCTCTGGCAGGTGTGGAGCAGGTGAGGAAGTTGATCTGATCCAGGTTTGAACGGGCTTCCTTTGGATGGCAAGTGGAGAACAGACACTGTCGGGTGAGAGATGAGGGAGTTATGCAACCAGGGAGGAGGGTGCTTTAATATACTAGGTGAGGGCTAAGAATGGATGGTCCAGAGGGGTGGCTGTGTAGATGTTAGAAGTGACTGGATCAGATATTTTTAAAATCCCCACCTGAGGATATGCTTGTTGATTGTCAGAAAGGAAGAGAAAGAGAAACATCTATCGGTTGCCTCCCATACATGCCCAGACCAGGAATCAAACCAAAAATCCTTTGATGCACAAGATGATGCTCCAACCAACCGAGCCACCTGGTCACAATGGATCAGGTATTCTGATGCGTGAGAGAGAGGTAGTCCCCCGGTTTTAGGCCTTATCAGCTGGAAGGGTAGATGCTCCATCAGCTGAAATGGGCAAGTCAGTGGTAGAAGTAACTCGGTGTGGATATCAGCAGTTTATTTTTGACCATATTAACGGGCTTAGGTGTTCCAGAGAACACTGTATGGAGGTGTCGAGTGAACTCCTGGAGCAGGAAGGGATTTCTGTGGAGGGGTTCAGGAAGGAATGTGGAATGTCCGGAAGGCAGATGATGGCATAAAGACAGGTGTAGGAGGGACAGTTTACGCATCACAATGGCAGTGTAGTCAGTAGCCAGGAAGGCCAGTGGGTGGATGGGGGGCCCGGACTTGTGAGACAGAATGTGGTCCAAAAGAGTGAAGTGCAGGTGGAAGGGAGTATAACTGATGCCCGCTGGACCCTGGTATCGGGAGTTAAGGGAGAAAGGTGAGCATGATTTGAGCAACCTCAGAATTGGCTGCCATGGCAGGTGTTGGGGTGGGGGACTGAACGCCAGGCCCAGTACTTAGATGATGGCTTTCTGCCCACCTTACTGCAGGTGGACACAGTGATCACAGGGACTGTGAGATAGCATGAGGATCCTGCGGCACCCAGTCCTGGTATTTCCTCTGAGTTGAGGAGTAAGGAAGAAATGTAGGGCACGGATGGGTGTCCTTAGGATCAGGCCGTTCACAGACTTTGCTCTCCCCATGGTCACAGGGGCAGGTGACCTTCGAGGACGTGTTTGTGCACTTCTCCCAGGAGGAGTGGGGGCTCCTTGATGAGGCTCAGAGGCTCCTGTACCGCGATGTGATGCTGGAGAACTTGGCACTCACTGACTCTCTGGGTAAGTTCATCTCACCCACCCCAGGGTCCTGCAGCAGGCTCTGCCCTTCCCATTTTCCAGGGTGATCCTGGCTTTTCCAGAGCCATGGGCACTGCCTCCCTCCCCAGTGCCCTACAGTAGGTGCTGTGGATGCCACCTCTGAGTCCTGAGCAATCTACACACCTGCTGCCCTGAAGGTGTGTGTGGCTAGCTCAGAAGTGAGGGGTCTTACAGTTGCCCAGTGGATCATACCTGACCGGTGCCTCTGTTGAGGCCCATCACACCCCGTTGCCCCACGTTCTGCCCCCTTCCTCTGGCTGATGGCCTGCCTGTGCCAGAAATTGCAGGGACCAGTCTGGTCAGTCACTACTTGCTGGGACCACCGGACTATTCCTGAGGTTACTTCTATAATATTCATTTCTCGTCTTTGAAAGTTGGGTCACCCAGACCAGTGCTACCCACTTACCTGTCCTGTCTTTTCCTTAGGATACGCATTTTCCATGTCCTGTGGGGTGGCCCCACTGGAGCTGTGCAACGAATCCTGGCTATCAGACTGGCCACACACGGCTCCAGCCTTGACCAGAGAGGCTCAGGGTGGGTGTGACCCTGGTGAGTGGGAGCGGGGGGAAGGTGTCATGTCAAGGCTGGGTCCTAGTCACTCCCCAACCACTCTGTGCCCACAGTTGTTTGAGAGCCAAGGCCACTGGGCACATTTCATTTCTCTTTCCCATTTATACACTTGCCTTTTGTGCTCTGCCCTTTGGCCTCTGCCTGTCCTTGACCTCTGCCTCCACATCTCACCTGTTCCTCTCCACTGCTCCCTCTGTGGTGCTCTCCAACTTTGGCCTGTACTTAATGTGTCGGATGTGCACAGGCCCCAAATTGTCCTTAAATACCAGCAATTTGGTTGTACCTCTTCAGGGGACACAGCCTTCTGCACAGCTCTCACTTGTCCCCAGCAGCCAAGGCCTCGCTGAAATCTGTTTGTGGATGATTTCTTTGGAGACCCGGACTTTGCTGGGCTGTACTGCACATTTGTGTCCTCCTCAAGTCAAAGCACCTTCCCTTCTATGACTTTTAGATGCCAACCACTGCGTGGCAGCCGTTTACTCAACTTGAGCTCAGCCTCTTGTCCTACGGCCTTGCTCTTACTTCTGTTGGACCCATGTTTGTAATGAGACTTCCCCCTCTCACAGGTTGAACTTCACCAGCATTTGTCTGCTTTCAGGTTCTTGGCGTGGAATGGAGGATGAGAAGATAATGTTTAATCAGAGGGTCTCTACAGAACAAGTGTCACAAGCCAGGACTCCCAAGGCAGGCCCTTCTACCCAGAAAACCTGCTCCTATGAGTCATGTGGATCGGTCTTGAAAGACCTTCTGCACTTGGCTGAGCACCAAGAAACACAACCTGGGCAGAAACCAGGTGGGAAACAATTCTGGTTCAATGCAGAACTTCACCACCAGAAACAGCACAGGGGAGAGAAACCCCTCAAAAGAGACGAGGGACAGGCCTTTCTTGTGAATAGCTGCCCTGTCCAGCCATTAGAAATGCCCTTTATGACTGGGGAGGGTTGTAAGAACTTCTCAGCTAACTCAGGCATTTTCCGGCACCATGCGCCTCGCAGTGAGTGGAAGTCACACAGTGGACAAAGGCATTATGAGTGCGGCGAATGTGGGAAAACCTTCAACCGCAAAGACTCTCTTGTCCAGCACCAGAGAGTCCACACTGGAGAGAGGCCGTACGAGTGCAGTGAGTGTGGGAAAACCTTCAGCCGCAAACCCATACTTGCTCAGCACCAGCGAATCCACACTGGAGAAATGCCCTACGAGTGTGGCGTATGTGGGAAAGTGTTTAATCACAGCTCCAACCTTATTGTACACCAGAGAGTTCACACTGGAGCAAGGCCTTACAAATGCAGTGAGTGTGGGAAAGCCTACAGCCACAAATCAACACTTGTTCAGCATGAGAGCATCCACACCGGAGAAAGGCCTTACGAGTGCAGCGAATGTGGGAAGTATTTCGGTCACAAATACAGACTCATTAAACATTGGAGTGTTCACACTGGTGCGAGGCCTTACGAGTGCATAGCCTGTGGGAAATTCTTTAGCCAAAGTTCCGACCTCATTGCACACCAGAGGGTCCACAATGGTGAAAAGCCCTATGAGTGCAGCGAGTGTGGGAAAGCCTTTAGCCACAAACACGTGCTTGTCCAGCACCATAGGATTCACACTGGAGAAAGGCCATATAAGTGCAGTGAATGTGGGAAGGCCTTCAGGCAAAGGGCTTCCCTCATCCGACACTGGAAAGTTCACACTGGAGAAAGGCCATAGAATAGTGGGACATGCCATTTCCTTGTTCACCAGTGAGAAGCTCTGTGAGTCACCTTTGAGAGTAGCCACCAGCTGGAAGTTGAACCCCATCCATCTGAACACCCACCCCAGGGAGATTCTTCTGAGGGCCTGCTCCGTGGGAAGCTTTTCGGAGCAACGTTGCACTTTTTCCCAGGACCCCTGCCAGAATTCCACCACTACCAATATATCTGAAAGAAGCCATCACCCTATTGAATGGCAGGGTCCAACGTTGTGCACATATTACCCCAACAAGCTCTGTTAGGCACAACTGTGCTGTTCCTCATTTTCCTACAGGGAATCCTCAACATCCTGAGCCCATTGATCCTATTCCTTCCTCCTGCCAGCTGGTTTAAGCATAGGCATGGCCTAGTTTCAGCCACAAGGATGCAAATTTTGTTTGCTGGCCACTTACAGAGCAGGTTTCCAGCTTTTGTGGACTTTGTTGGGGCTGTGTGGCACTCATCATGGGCCTGTCCTTCCTCCAAGTCCCCTAAATTGGGAATTGCCTGCCCCAGTATTCTGGTTTTGCAGAGAACGCCTTAGTTTTTTAAACCACCTTTAATCTTGGGAGTTCAGTTTCCTTTATGGTCTGGGTGGAGGACAGAAGTGTTCTCAGCCAGCATGAAGGGATGGACAGCTTTTGGAAGTGCTCTCTGTGTTGTGAGCTCAACAGCAGACACAACAGCTCTCATTCTAGTTTCCGCCTAACTTGCATTGCTGCCCAAGGCTTCTAGGGAAGAACACTGGTCTGCATGGGCCTAACCTTGTGTCCTGTATGCCAAGATTATCTGCGAAACTGTGAGGCTTGGGCATTTGTTGTGACAACCTCTGGGAACAGCATGTGTTGGGTCCCTTGTTCCCAGGGGATGTCCCATATTTTCTAGCCCTCTTGAGGAGAATTCGACCCCCTCAGGCCTGCTAACATCCCTAAAATCTTATATTCAGTAGGCAAATGTCGCTGTCCCCTAAAAGACCAGGTAGGAAGCATTAATTGGTACAAAGACACTGGTTAATAGGGAGTTGGAGGACTGGGGATATAAGTTCTAAAGGTGTATCCACAAACGTTTCCTTCACTATGGCATTGGTATGAGGGTTTACAGATATTCTCAGGGCTCCCATATTTGTGTGTCTGTTATGGCTGTGGTCACTATCAGAGAAATCAAACATTTTCTGCAATAAACTCTATTTATAGTGTACAGTTTGATAAGGTCCAATGCATTTGCACCTGTGAAACCAGGTTTCCTGATTCCCATTGTAATCCCTCTCCTCTTGACCCATTCCCAGGCAATCACTCTTGTTTTCTCTCACTATAGATTTGTTTGTGTTTCCTAGAATTTTATGTATGATGTATATGAACTAATTTAATAATTACCTATATATCTGGCTTCCTTGACTCTTGATTATTTTGTGATGATATTATCAGCGTTTTGTATGTCAGTGGTTCATCCCTTTTTATCCACATTTTTGCTGAAAGTATTCTATTTGGAGGAAATAGTTCCAAAGCAGGCAATCCAGGAAAAGTCACACAATAACAAAACCACAGTATGTACTATGATAACTGGAAAGTGATTTGCCATCATTTATGACATGGTTTGTGGACAACACAGACTAGTTTGTTACAAGGTGGCAGGAGGCTCCACAACAGTGAAAATACAGGAGATAAGGATTTGTGGGGGCACTTCTTGGACACTGGTGACCATAATCACAGTTATTTGAATTTTCTTTACCTTTTTAGTCTTTCAAGATGAATAACATTGATTTTAAAAAGGTAAACTAAACTTCATTTGTGAGGCAAGCCCCACTTGGTCATAATGTATTATTTTCATGTATTGGATTTTGCACTCACGCACCTCAACAATAGGAACATTCTGAGAAATGGCCTCCCTCAGTTTCCTCACTGTGTGACCATGATGGAGGCACTAACACAAACCTAGATAGTTTAGCCTACTACCCACCTGGCTGTATAGTTCAGCCCGTTGCTCCTAGGCTACACTCCTGCACAGCATGTTACTGTGCTAAAGCACTGTAGGCAATTGTAACAATGTTAAAAATTCATGTAGCTAAACACAGAAAAGGTACAGTAAAAAAAAAAAAAAGGGGGAGGTGCACCATATGGGGCACTTAAATGGAGTTTGCAGGACAGGAAGTTGTTCTGGGTGAGTCAGTGAGTTGAGTGATGTGAAGGCCCAGGACATTACCATCCATGTCTATAGGCTTGACACACTATGCTAAATTTATGTTTACATGCTTTGATTTCTTCAATAATAACCTTTATTCACTAAATTTTTTACTTTTTAAATCTAATTTCAAAAGCTTTTCAACTTTTGTAATACCAGCTTCAGGCACAAACATTGTATAGCTGTACAAAAATGTTTTCTTTATACCCTTGTTCTATAAGCTTTTTCCTATTAAAAGTTATTTTTTACTTTTTAAACTTTTTTTGTGACCACATACATGAAGACTAGACAGAACTGGATGATGATGAAAGCATAAATCTTAATGGATTCTTCACTTTTTTTAAAAGCCACCTTGCAGGGAGCTTCTTCGCTCATTTCTTTTTTAAGATATTATTTATTTAGGGTGGGGGAGAGGGAGAGAAACATTGACTGGTTGCCTCTCTTACACCCCCAACTGGGGACCTGGCCCACAACCAGGCATGTGCCCTGACTGGAATCAAATCAGCGACCCTTTGGTTCAGATGAGGCTCAATCCACTGAGCCACACCAGCTATGGCTCACCCATGTTTTTTGAGACATGGACACACCAGCACCTCACTGTGATGGAGGGGAGGTTGTACCTGGTTCACCACACCCCACCCAGGGTTGACCAGATGGCTCCCAGGAGCTCCACAATGGCTGTAATGATGTGGTGCTGGGGAGCATATTTGTCAGGCCACAGTCAATGGAGGCTGCTGTTATCTGTGGACTGGCCCCATCGTCAGCCACGGTCATTTTTTCATCCAAAATCGGTCTTTTCCTGCTGCCAGATAGGTGGACACAGCCCCTGGAGACCGGAGACAAAGAGGACGACTGGTGCGGGTACAGGACTCTGCTTGAACACGACATGACACCCGGCTCTGTTCCTGCCTGATTCTCTGCAGCGGGACTCGTGTGCCCGGGTCACCCACAGCGGGGCTGCCTCTGGGCGGCCGCGTCCAAGGACAACGGGGTCCTCACCCCGTGCGCCCCCCACCACAGACACCTGGTGTGGTCGTGGCAACCCCACCACCCCGGGCCCTCTGCCTCATGTGAAGTGTTCTCTCCCCCTGACTGGCGTGGCGCAGTGGCGTGAGTGCAGGCCTGGGAACCAAAGCGTTCTCTCCCATGGGTGTTGGCCCCTCCGGCAGAGGGATGCCTTTTTGCAAGAGATACCAACACCCGAGGGAGGGCAGGTCAGGTTGCTGCCCTCCTGGGCTCCCTCTGAAGCTTCCTCTACAGATCGCGCTCCCCACGCCAAACCAGAGATGGACGTTCCTAGCGAGGAGGGCTCTCTGCCCGCAGCCCCTCCTCCCCTTTCCGTCCAGGGAGAGTGTGCGGAAGGCAAGGTGCGGGCCTGGCTAACGTGGCTCTTCTATAGTTGGCTTCGCGGGAGCAGTGGCCAGAGTCTCCTGACGCAGCGGCCACTCCCTCGCCCTCAGGCGCGGCTCCCGCCCACTTTTTCCCCCTTACCGCCCCCCGCCCCCCCCGCGCCGCGCCCCGCTCTCTGCGGAGCCCATGGAGGCTCCAGGTCGCTCCCATCCGAACCTCTCGGGCCACCCGCAACCCACCTCGCCTAATATCCTTTTGATTTTCTTAAGAAATCTAATCCCAAGATCTAGGCTCCTAGCCGGACGAGCCAACGCAGCCCCGGCACCGTGAGCAAGCACCTCCGCGACCGACGGGCGACGCCCCAGTGAGGGCTCTAGCGATTCGAGGTGCCCTCGGGATCCCAGACCCCAGCCGCCTCTCGTTGGCCCCGTAGCCACCCAAGGGACCCCCGTGCGCGTGCGCGCAGCCCTCGCCGCCGCGCGGCCGCGGCGTCCGGGAGGGGGCGAGCGTTTCCCCTACCTGTGCCACGGCGGCCCTCACAATCCCATCCACGCTGCGGCTGAATTTCCTTTTCATCTTGAGATGCAGGTGGAGAGTGCAGGTCGGGCCACTTCGCTTGGGAGCGTCCCCGAGATGTGACCCCGAAGGGGACCCGATGAGTAGACAGGGGGCTGAGAGCGGACGCGGTGCTGGGGCTCTTGCGTCCGTGGTCTTGAATCCCTGCGCATTTAGCGGGTGGCCTGGCTGCGCAGGAAGCCGTTTCTTAGGGCCCCTCCCGCGTGCGTCCTCCTACCCAGGCCCGAAACAGCCTCATCGGGCAAGGATCGCCTGTAGCCGTTCCAATCCCCCCTATTCCTGGGTGGGAGCTACCAGACTCCTGGAGCCCCGCGCCATCCGCAGGCGCGAGGGATCAACGCGGGTGGGAGAGACTAGGGCAGCGGGCCGAGCCCCGTGAGACATGCATCAAGGCCAGTTGCCTTCCTGGCACCCTGGAGTGGGGGTGGGGGAGCTGCCTTCTGCCGTAGCCCCTGGGAAAGTCCACTGTGTCCCCGTGAGTGACTTGAATCCGAGGCCTTCCTGGCTCCTTCCTGCCGCCGAGCCGTGCCGTTCCAGCTGCCTGCGCGGGGCGCATCACTGCCTCTGCGGCTGTGGCCCTGTTGCGCGGCGTAGGTGCTAATTGTTCTGAGCCAACCGTGCAAATCCACGGAAGGATCGCCAAAGAGGCGCAGCTGCGGCCTCGATGAATGGGCCGCTCACCTATGTAGTGCGGCTCCAAGGTCGGAAGGGCGCACAGGAGGAAGCGCGGTCCGGGATCTCCGTGCCCTCGCGGATCCCCGTTGGTCCCCCATCGAGGCCGCGGCCTCCCCACAGTACCCAGCATCTCTTTACCTCCATCAATGCGGGTCCAGGGGCGAGGGCTGCGCCCCAGACTCCGACTTGGGCGCTGGGTGATTCCGGTCGCCAATTCCCCTGAGCCCTCTGTGCGTCTCCGGGTGCGCTTTGAGTAGGCCCTCTCTTCCGAGTCCCCAGAAATAAGCTCCTGGGTTCCTTATATCGAGGGCTCACACGGACCGCCTACCCCCTCGCGTCTTTCCACACTCTCCACGCCTCGGGACAATCTGGTACTTCCCGCCCTGTGCTCGCTTCCCCCTGCAGTGCCATCCTCTGTGGTGAGAGGCCCGGGCCCTGGTTGTTGGGAGAGAAAGGGAAGATTTGGACTTGAGAAGGCCGCCCGACGTAGGGGAGACGGGCCCATCACGGCCGCAGTGCTGAGGTTTGCGTCCTGCGTGCTGGGGAGCACAGGAGTCGGCGTGGAGGCGGTGCTGTGCAGCCCCTTCGTCGTCAACTTCCAGGTAACCAGCGCGGAGGTTCCCGGGGCGGCTAGGTCCATGGGGAGGGAGGACACCCACCCCACCTCTAGCAGCGGGCCAGCTTTTGCCCAGACTGGAGTACAGATTCGGTGCCGCCACCTGCTGGACAGATGGTGACTTGCAGTATATAGGGCCACGGAAGTTGGGAAAGTCAACCGTGGTCCGTTTTCAACACCAAGAGGAATCCCCATTTTGGGGGGTGCGCGGAGCAAGTGCACTATTCAGTGCAAACAGCTCAATGATGACATAGCACGGAGGCGGCCCCCTTTGCTCCAGCTACAGATGTGTTTCGTGTTTCAGCTCCACTCGGGGAAATGCAGCCTTCAGGAAAAGTGCTGCCCCCATGCCAGCGGGGCGCTGACTTTGTAGACAAGTCCCTGCCCCTGATCCCTAACGGGTCCATCCTCATGTAAATAATTATTCCAGATCCTCAGTTTGATTGGTCAAAATGGAGGTGCTGTGATTCATTTGCATAAATATGCTAATAAGGAAGGGTATCGCTGCCAGCTCCTGATTGGACAGGAAAAGTCTTAGGCCTGTAGATTGAAATGCAATTCCAGAAACTCCTTTACAAGGCGTACTTCTCCCTGAAACGCAGTTAGCGTTAAAGGCCCCGTGTGTAGAAATGGCTGCTAGGATGTGCTTTCAGATTTGAGCCATTAGCCACCAGTAGCTCTTCTTGGTGTTAGGTATCCACAGGAATAACAGATACCAAAAAGACAAACACAGAATCTAAAATTACGATAAATCACCCCCAAGGAACCCTCCCCGCCAAAAAGTCCCAGAATAAACATCCGGAAGACTGCGCTCTAGTGTTTACGGAGATTAAATTCTGTTATTCCTTTGGATTAAAGGCAAAAATAACAACCAGCAAGGATGACCCCAAATTCTAGGTAGTATAGGCTAAACCAACAAATGGTGCTATCATGTGCCCTCTCACTCTGAAGCCAAGTTTGTTTATCTTGAGTACTTGTAAGGGGGCTGTAGCTCCACATCTTTGCAATCTCTGCTGGGTTATCTCTGACGTGCATCACGTTCTCGTTTTGTACTACAATTCAATAATAAAACTTTTCTTTCTCTTCTACCTTTGTGGAGATTTTGGAGATTGTGTTATTCCTCCAACAATGGCCAGCATGTTAAAGACTATTAGACTAGAGATTCAATAAACAAAATCTGGCATGTGGCAAATCCTAACTTCCACAAACTGTTAAGGGTAAAAATAAAAAAAAAAAAGAGCAATCCTAGAGCTACAGGTTAAGGAGGCTTACAGGACACATCTACAAGTTACAAGAGGTCAAACAAGGCAATTGAGGATTAACCCTTGCCCTCCCCTAATGTAGCAAGCTGATTAATGTTCCCCAAAGACATTCAGCAGGTCCTCAGTCTTGGACCTTCCTGAGGACAAAGATTCAACCCTAGAACCTCAAGAGACTGCTGCACCCCTACCACTGACCCCTTGATTTTTTTTTTTTTAATCCCTATGAAGGACCAGTGATGAGAGCAAAGGAAGATGACACGTAGGGCTGAGTCCAGGAGAGACCATGTGCTAGCTTCCAGCCTTAAGAGCTTAAGTCTGCCACCAATGCTAACCAGTGAAGCCACCAAACCTTGGTGTTGGTTTTTTCCTCCCCCAGAGTTTGTCACATAGACAAGGAGCACTTGTATTGGCTGACTGTGTCTAGCTTCTGCAGAGGTCAGTGTCTCTCCATTATCAGTATAGACTGTCTGGCATACAGTCCAAGGCCAGATAAAGACTGTATTTAAAAAAAAAATTGTATTTATTTTTAGAGAGGGGAAGGGAGGGAAAAAAGAGAGGAACATTGATTGATTACTTCTTGCATGTGCCCCAGCTGGAGACCCGGCCGGCAACCAAGGCATGTGCCCTGACCAGGAATTGAACGAGTGACCTTTAATTTTGTGGGACGATGCTCAACCGAGCTACACCAGTCAGGGCAAGACTCTTAACGCTGATCAAGTGTTTCAGGAGCTTTAGAGGTTTACCTCACAGGAGCAAGTGCCAAACATTTCCTTGGAATGTGCAGAGGTTGGACAACTCAGACCTCCTGACAATCCTTCAATGTATACAAGGAACACTCAACAGTGTGCAAATGCACATCTCTCCCCAAATTTACATTAGTGAACTTCATATTCAGCTGGAAATAGTTGCTTTATTAACTGTCTAGACCTGTGAGGGAGACTATATGAGGACTTGAACTTTATTTTAGATTTTATTTATTTATTTTTTCTTGGGGGGGGGGGAGACAGGGAGAGAAACATCAATGTGTGGTTGCCTCTTGCACAGCCCCCACTAGGGACCTGGCCTACAACCCAGACATGTGCCCTGACTGGGAATTGAACTGGTGACCCTTTGCTTCACAGGACTTTAACTTTTAAATGGAAACATTCTTCCAGTACTGAAAAGCATTTATTCCACTCAGTAAAGTTAAATAAAGAATGAAGTTACATTTCTATACACATTTTATCAAAAAAGATACCCAGGTGGCAAATTTAAACATGTTATGTACATGTGTTCTCATGTAAGCTTATTTGTGAGAGCCAAACTGGAAACAAAAGCATCTATTAACAAGCAGATGAATGGGTAATGGTGGTGTATGCACACACTAAATGAAAAGAAACGCAAATATGAGGAAACATTTAAGATTCCAATTATATAAAATTCTAAAAAACAAAAAATCAATAGTTGTCCTGGCTGAGTAGTTTAGTTGATGAGAACATCATCCTGATATGCCCAGGTTGTAAATTCAGTCCCTGGTCAGGGCACATGCAAGAATCAACCAATGAATGCATAAATAAGTGGAACAACAAATCAGTGTTTCTCTCTCTCAAATCAATAAATAAATTTTAAAAATCAATAGTTGCCTGGGAATGCAGGGGAGATCACAAGATGATAGTTTGTTATGATGAAGGTTTTCATGGGTTTATATAGTTACCAAAATTGTACATTTTTTAAATAATCTTGTTTCATGATGTGCCTATATAACCCAATAGAGTTTTAACAGAAATGGTTTCATATGACATGAACCTGCTACTCATAGGCAGTTTCCACACCATGGATGTTCAAATATATGATGTCAACTTTAGGTTGATGACACCCTCACAAGATTCTGTCATGTGTGGTATGACATAGAGCTCATTCCCTGCTATCCCATCTCATCCCATCATGCTGAATGAGGCCTTTCTCCGCTGTGAATTTCCTGATGCCCAGTGAGGTTAGACCTCTGACTGAAGGCTTTCCCACATTTGAAGCAGCCATAAGGTCTGTCTGGGATGTGAAGTTTCTGGTGCTTAATCAGAGCAGATCCTCGACTAGAGATCTTTCCACATTTGCTATACTCCTGAGGCCTGTCTCTGATGTGAACTTTTTGGTGCTGAGTAAATTGGGTGCTTTGGCTAAGAAACTCTCCACAGTCACTGCACTCATAGGGTCTTTGTCCCATGTGAACTCTCTGGTGCTGAGTGAGGCCAAAGCTTTGGCTAAAAAGTTTCCCACATTCACTGTACTTATAAGGCCGTGACCCGGTATGAATTCTCTGGTGCTTAATGAGGGTAGAGTTTCGGCTGAAGAGCTTACCACACTCAGTACACTCATAGGGTCTTTCCCCAGTTGAATTCTCTGATGCTTAATGAGGCTGGGGCTCTGGTTAAAAATTTTCCCACATTCACCACACTCATAAGGCCTTGCTCCTGTGTGAACTCTCTGGTGTTTAACCAGGTTGGAGTTAGAGGTAAAGAATTTCCCACATTCACTGCACTTATAAGGCCGTGACCCAGTGTGAATTCTCTGATGCTCACTAAGGCTGGAGCTTTGGCTAAATAATTTCCCACAATCGCTGCATTTATATGGCCTTTCTCCCGTATGAATTCGCTGGTGCCAAACAAGTGTGGGTTTGTTGCTAAAGGTTTTCCCATACTCGCTGCACTTGTAAGGTCTTTTTCCAGTATGAATGCTCTGATGCTGAACAAGTATGTGTTTGTAGCTGAAGGTTTTCCCACATTCGCTGCACTTATACGGCCTCTCTCCAGTGTGGACTCTCTGGTGTTGAGCAAGTCTGTACTTTTGGCAGAAGGCTTTCCCACAGTCATTGCAGGTATAGTGCTTCTGCCCAGCGTGAAAGGCCTCCTCACACTCACGGTGAAGGAGCAGGTGAAGGCCTGAGTTAAGCGGGGAGTCCTTCCCAGCCTCCCAGCACATGGATGGTGTCTCTGATATGTGAACAATGCAGCTCTTCACACAGGAGGCCTTGTCTGTGTTCCTTCTAAAGAGTTTCTCTCTACTGAGCTGCTTCTCGAGCTGGTGAGATTTCCCAGATGCTCGAGGATTCTTGGGGGTTCTTCCTAGGTTGTCAGTTAGATGCAAATCACCTTCTAAGGCCAGGCCACACATCTCCCAGAGGTCAGCCTCAGGAGTATTAATCTGTGACATTTCAGGAACATTCCGCTCAGGAGTTGCATCTTCATCCTCTGCTCCATGCCAGCCTGAAAGCAGAGAAAATACTAGTGAACTTCATATAAATGGGGGTTAGGAAGGGGCATCCCCATCACAAATGTGTGTCTGACAACCAAGGATAAGCCCACAGGATTTCCCAAACAAAGGAGCTGGGGTGGGTTGAGGAAGGACTCTGCACAGTACCAGGCCTCTAAAAGTGACTGAATAGGGGGAACCAGACCTCTACCTGTGACGGAATAGGGGGAACCAGGCCTCTGAATGTGACAGAATGGGGGACCCAGCAGACAAAAAGCAACAAGGATGGGAGCTGAAGGAGAAGGCAGGTCCACAACTCACTTCTCTGGGAACACTTGTCACTAGGGCCAATGCTGTTGGTGAAAGGTGTGAGAAAAGGTGTGTCCTGTCCCAGGAAAATCTGAGTGTCGCTGAGTAGCTGGTGTCCAAGGGCTACTTCAGGGATAGGCACAGACATAAGGATACATTGAGTGTGGGCCAAAATTGGAGAGCACAGTGGAGTGGAGGATGGGAGGTGAGGGGTAATCCTTGGTCAGAAGTCACAGTAGAAATGACAGGTACACAAGTGTCAAGAATGGGGAGTCAAGAGAAATGAGGTATACAGAGAGCCACTGGCCTTGGCAAAACAGCGTTGGGCATAGGGCATGTCTCTGATATGAGCTGGACCCAGCCATAATCTCACACCCTCCCCCTGGTGCCAACACCAGGGCTAGGCCCACTGTGAGCCCCTTTTGCTGTCCCCACAGTCCTGTCCACTCTGTCTTGTACCCAGGGTTCTCCTCCCAGCTCCATTTAGACAATGTGGGACCTAGAAGATGCAAGTCCTAAGGGAAAATCAGGACCGGTGAGGGGTCAGCACTGGCCCAGGGCAACCCAACCCAAAAACCTCAGGAAAAACACCACGGTTCAGTTCCTGAGAAGGGTCCTACAGAAACAGGAATTCCTGGCACACTCAGGCCCCAGGAAATATCCACTATAAAGAGGCACATCCTGGGACACAGAGATGGCGTTGAAGCAGGGGGCAGCAGAGGCAGAGAGGAGCCGCAGGACTAACCCCATGTCTTTTGACCCACAAGCCTTCCCTGAAAAAGCTTCAAGGCAGCTGCTGCTGGGGCTACTTGGGGAAGGAGGCAGTATACATGACCAATCCTAGAACTTATGACAGGGGACTCCGACATTGTCCAGCTGTGAAGAGAACAGGGCTGCCCTTGGGGGAAAGATAGGAAAGGCAGAGCCAGCCTGGGGCAGGGGAGCGAGGGAGGGCCTTACCCACGGATGCCACAAATGCACAGACCTCCAGCATCACATTGTGGTACAGACGTCTCTAAGCCTCATCAAGGAGCCTCCATTCCTCCCGGGAGAAGTACACAGCCACATCCTCAAAGGTCACAGAGCTCTGTAATGAGGGGACACTTGTGTCCATAAGCAGCATCTTCTCTCTAGGAACCTGGAACTTTCCACATTCAAGCCTTGATCATTGGATCCAACAGGTAGCCAGACAGATGCAAGACAATAGCCTAAAGCCCCCTTCTCTCTTAAGCTCCTGGTATGAGGGCCCTGAGACTATTAGTTCTCGCACTGGACCTCCCGCATACATCCGGTCTCCCCACCACCTGACCCACAAAGTCAGCACTTCTCTGGCCTCCTCACATACCGTGCAACAGGACCCCATACACCCCAAACCTCCAGACCTACTGACAAGGCTTCCCTACCTTGTCCTCTGGCTCCAACCTCAGTCACCAGAACCAAGTGCATACCCACATGTCTCTGATCATCTCCTAGGTGGCACGTTATATCTCTTCAGCAGTTACAATCTCTGTCCATGTAACACTCATTCAAAATCTGTACCCACTTGACACACCTGAGGTAAGCTAGTCTGACATTCTAATAGCAAGTCCCACAGGAGCCACCAGGCTTGGGGGGTTTAGAAGCACCAATTCGACTTCACTATCGTCTCCATTCCCCCATGGAAACTTAGGCCGCCTGCTTGACTTTCTCCTCCCCCTACCTTCCTACTGAGGACTGACCACTTCACTTCCTTATCTGTCTTTATGACACCTACAGCCCCAAACTATTTTCCCTTGTCCCCAGTAGCAATGTCCCTAGAACCTGAGTACGCCCCTGTGTATAGCAGACCCAGAGTTCTATATTGGTCCATACACTGGATGCCATGTCTTGGGTATCTCTACTTGGAGGCCCTCCCTCCTCAGTGCTCTGGAACCTCATGTCCAGCTGTGTACTCTCACCGGCACTTGGGAGTCTCCAGAACATGAGACTTGATGTGACCCAAACCTAATTCCTCATCTTCTCATTGAAAAGCAGTACGTGTACTACTGCCTTCCCTGTCTGTTGATGGTACTTTCCAGCTTCCAGTTCTCTGTGACTTCTCAGTTACCTTTCACATTAGAAGATTTGGTCAACTCTACTTTAAAAAAATCCAAATGCCAAGTATTTCTCCCACCTCCCTAGTCCAGCCACATCCAATGCCTCCTTGATGGCTCAGTGTGTGAAGCCATGAGTTAGGTCACCTTTCTCCTCTGTACTAAAAATTCCATGGCCGCCATCACTCTCAGACCACCAGACACAGAGCCCTACAACACTCCCATCTCAGTCTCACATCCGCACATGTGTACATACTGCTCACACCGCTGGGTGCCACAACGGGGATCTCTCAGCTCTGACCTGGACTTTGAAACCTGGGGTTAGGATTTCTCTAGGGTTGCCAGACACCAAGGGCAGGAAGGGAAGAGGCAATGGAATTCCCAATACCTGATACTCACTAGTGCAGGGTCTGTAAGTGCTTCTTCTGAAAGCACAAGCTGGGAAACCTGTGGGAAGACCAATGTCACCTTACTTTAATTCCTGTCAGCAATACAAGTAAAAAAAATAAAGAAGCGAAACACAGCGTTTTAGGTGAAGGGGGAAATAAGCATGTTAAGAGAGTACAATATGTTTATGGAGCTGTGCCATAAAATCATGTGACTCACTGGGAAAACACCAAGTGAAAAACCCCTCTGTCAGTCTTAGTTGGTGTCCTGAGTAGCGTCCATGAGGCTAGTGCGGCTGAGACAGAAGAAAAGGTGATGTATTGGAACAAGGGGGGAAGGACAGGGCACAGTGGCTACAGATGCAATTCGTGTCCACTGTAGCTCCAGAAAATGCAGCAGCGGAGAAGTCAGGCTGCAGCCCCCACACTACAGCCTGGAGCATAAGAGGGTGAGAACCTGTCTCCCTCATGTTACAGGGCGGGGGCGTGGGGGAGGCTAGAATAAGCATTTGGAAGCAGTGCTGAAAGAGAAGAGGTCCCTAAGGCAAGGACTCCTGAAACCCATGTGCCAGGAAGACCTGCCTATTGAAGCTGTTTACCACAGATGCATGATACATTCTCTGGAGTTGGCAGTGATGTTCATTGAGAGACTGGAAACTCATCTGGAAACAATTTGAAAATATTCCTCATTCAGATGCACATCTAAAGGAAGTGAGCAAGGTTTTAGAAGAGGTGTTTATTTTTGTGACTGAGACAGAAGAATTGGCAGAGAATATATTCAAGTAGTGAGAACAACAAAGGGAAGTCTCCTCTGTATCCACAAAATATTAGCTGAAGAAAATTATCTTCATAAACAGGATGTTATAATGCCTCCTTTAAGCAAAAACAAACAAAAAACACCACACACAAAAATTGTGCTTAATTATGTGAAGTTCATTTCTTGTCAATGGTAAGATGGGTATTTATAGGCTATTGCTAGCAATACTGAAAGAACCCTCTCTATATTTAAGTCCTAAGATTCCAAGTTCATTAAGACCAAACTAAATTTTCCTATGTTTTTCATATACTTTCATTCCACTTTTCAATAAAACTTATGAAGATCAAGTATAAAAAAGGTTAAAAGGAGCGCTTCCAAAAACAAAAAGACAAGTATACAAAACTTTGAGTAAGATGATTGACAACAAGCAGACAGTTGCAACTCTTCAGAATAGGATATTAGACACTTAATTTTAATATAAAGGTTATAAGAGAAAAATAAGTATTCATATATAGTGCAATTTGGTAAAGAATGCACAAAATAAAAGGATAATGTGACAAAATCATACGGGGAAGAAGGAAAAGGAGAATGAAGATAATAAGAGGCAATCAGAAGACAAAAAGAAACAATGGAGATAGCAACCAGAAAACAAAATGAATGGAGTAAGGCCTCAGATGGCAATAATCACCGTACCTGAACCTACCCAACAAAAGGCACAGGGAGCCCTGGCTGGTGTGGCTCAGCAGACTGAGTGCCAGCCTAAGAAGCAAGGGGTTGCTAGTTTGATTCCCAGTCAGGGCACATGCCTGGGTTGCAGGCCGGAACCCCAGTAGGGGGCGCACAAGAGGCAACCACACATTGATGTTTCTCTCCCACTCTTTCTCCCTCCCTCCCCGACTCTCTATAAATAAATAATTTTTTTTTTTAAGGCACGGGTAGCAGATGGATTAAACAGAACCCAAGTATATGCTGGTTGCAGAGTGCTCCTCTCAGCTCCAAAGACACACATGGGCTCAAAGTGAAGGTGATACTTCATGCAAAGCAAGTGCAGCGAAAGTGGACTAGAAAAAGAATAAATGAAGCTCTAAGTCCACAGAAGGAAATAAAAATTAGAGTGGAAATAATGAAAGAGGAGAAATAAATGAAATAGAGAACAGAAAAATGACAGAAAAAAATTAATGAAACAAATAGCTGGTTCTTTGGACAAATAAAGTTGATAAACCCCTGGTTAGATTCCAGTAAGGAGTAAAATAAAATCAGAAAAAGTTACAAGGGAACACCAAAGAAATACAGTTTTAATTCAAGAATACTGTGAAAGCCAATATACCAGCAAATTCAACAACCTAGGAGGGAACAAATTCTTAAAAGGATTTGAAACAATTACCAAACACTTCACAAAACTCACCTTGGCCAGTTAGCTCAGCTGCTTAGAGCATC